TAAACCCTAAACCCTCCAACCCCCCCATTTGCAGTCGCGAAGCTTCGTTCTTGAAGGCTCGAATTTCGAAGTCCTCCGTTCCGCAGATGAGCTCTGGCTGACCATCGTCGTCGACGTCGCAGAAGGCGAGCGCGCTGACGTTGTCACCTTCATGGCTTACCCTGGAGGGTCCATGTGGCTCTACTTGGAGGTTCATGGGACTNNTGCATGATAGATAGGTAGATAGATAGATGGATAGACACTGTTTGTGTCTCCCGTACTCCCCTTGTAGCGTCGGTACTGTGCATGCACCAAACCTGCATTGGCTTTGGCGTGGGTTAACTATGCGATTGTCGGATGTGGCTTCTGTTGGTTCGGGGTTCGTTCGGGGTCTGTGTTAGGAAGCCTTATGGTATCTCTTCACTTGGAGGTTCATGGGACTTAAAAAGTACAGTTATAAGTACCTCAAATGGGGTTATAAGTAATTCTAAGTATAGTTACCTTATGTATAACCCTAGTTACTAAGTCCCATGAACCTTTAAGTATCGTAGGCACTTAGGTCTTGAAGGGGCTGACGTAGAGTAGCTTTAGGACCTTTCGGACCAATGTATCTACAAAGTTGGTGTATGAACGTACGGCTCCAAGGACTCACAGGCCCTCAAAGCCCAAAGCCCGTCCGAGTCGAAACCCATAATATAGGGTTTTTAAAAAAAGAGGGTTTTTAAAAACAGAAGAGGGTTTTTAAAAAAAGAGGGTTTTTAAAAACCCTCTTTTTTTTTTAAAAAACCCTCTTTTTTAAAAACCCTTAATAAATTCAATAGGGTTTAGGGGCCCAATATATTATAAATATAAGGGACCCCCAGAATAGTATAGGTAGTTCTTTGGGCCCCTACATTAAAAACCGTTCAAGCACTAACAGCCAACCCTCAAAAACAACCCTGCCCAAACACCTGAGAGGCTTCAAGAAGTAGATCCCCTACCAAGGTTCAGTTCCTACAAAGTACCAGTTATAAGTGTAGGGTTTAGGGTTTAGGGTTACAGTTTTATGCATTGCCAAATTGAGGGTTCTATTTCTAGATCCCTAAAACCTAAACCCTTAACCCCAACCCTTAAACCCTGAACCCTGAACCCTAAACCCTAAACCCTGAACCCTGAACCCTGAACCCTGAACCCTGAACCCTAAACCCTAAACCCTAAACCGTAAACCCTAAAGGGGGACTCTCAGAAATCGTGGCCTGTGACGGTCCAGTAGAGCTCGCTGCCCTCGGCATCAAACGCCTGGACGGAGCCTTGGTCTCCCACGAGTCTAGGGGTTTAGGGTTTAGGGGTTTAGGGTTTAGGGTTTAGGGTTTGGGGGTTTAGGGTTTAGGGTTTAGGTGTTAGGTGTTTAGGGTTTAGGGTTTCAGGGTTTAGGGTTTAGGTGTTTGGTGTTTAGGGTTTAGGGTCTAGCTGAAGGATCCAGATACCGTAGGGGCCTTCATAATTAGAATAGGGTTTTGGGGCCCATGAGACCATAATCATAATGAGGAAATATTGGTGATTCTTGAGGCTCCTCTATTCTGGCCTTTTTGTTCACGGGTGTGGGACACAAGTTTTAGACTATGTTTTCGGGATATCTTAATATCGCATACCCAGACCCCCGGAAGGATCTAAAAAGTAGATCCCCTAATTTGGGACCCTATACTACTAAGGGCTCGTTATAGGAAGGGTTCTGTTGTGGCTCGTAGCACTTCAGGGGTTCGGGGTAGAACACTGACCCCAAGGGTCCATGTACCCAAATATTATATACTTTGGCCCCAAAGTACCTATATATAGGGACTACTGTAAGGCCAAAGTATACACTTTTTTGGGTACATGGACCCTTAGGGTGATCTCTTGAAAACCAAGCGGCAATTACCGCCGACCACGCAGACAGGCTGCTCTATGGAGGCGAGGTGGCCGTAAGTGATCACGTTCACCTAACATAGGAGCCCAGAACCCCCGGGAGGATCGAAAGAGTCGATCCCCTCTTTTGGGACCCTAACTACTAAAGGGTCTTTATAGGAACCCCCTTAAGGGATCTACTTTCTAGATCCTTTCGGGGGTCTGGCTGGGAGTTTAGGGTTTAGGGCTTGGGGTTTCAAAAGGGATCTATGAGAACGAGCAGCTTCCCTCAACCAGCGTACCTGGGACACTGCCGGCGGCGCATAGAAACACTTTAGAAGCTTGCGACACTAGTGTAGAATCCAAACGGACTGAAGCGGTCGGAGAAGATAGGAAGTAGCTTCTATACGACGCTATTTGGTCTGGTCTACATTAATTCCACATACACATTTTATTACGTCCCGTGGTCATAAACTGAAGCTTGCGCGAAACCATAATTCCCTTTCCAAACACCATCGGGAATCTTGCAGGGAGAACCTTTGGCCCCTGAACGGAGCCTATCTTCATTCTGCTAGTACCGATAGAATACTTCTGTTGGGGCTCTACGTCTTGGATACAGTGTTACAGATCCGACACGGGGTCGACAACATCCTGTTATCACTACCCAGACCCAAAAGGATCTAAAAAATAGATCCCCTAATTAGGGATCCCACTTCTAAAGGGTACTTTACAGGCACCCCCTTAGGGGATCTATTTTTTAGATCCTTTTGGGGGTTTGGGTATGCCCCAGGAGCTAACGACTCGGTATGACCGGGAAGGAAAAAAAACAAACTCACTCCGAGGGACTCTAAGCTCTATACGACCTAAACCCTTAAATCTCTACACCAAAAACCCCAGACCCTACACCCCATACCATTAAGAGCCCTACGACCTAAACCCCACAAACTCTACACCCTAAGCCCCAAACCCTACCTACGACCTGAACCCCAAAAACTCTATACCCTAACCCCCAAACCCTACACCCCATTCCTGGAAACATACCTCTGATTCCCCCAGATCTGAGCACGCTACTCCATCGTGAACGTCCTTGAAGAAGAGATCCGCGTTCTCCTGGCTGAAAACCGAAGGATGCCGGGCACGTGGGATTCTTATGGCTGAAGGGTTTCGGGTTTAAGGTTCGGCTTTAGGGCCTTTGATTAGGGTTTCGGGGTTTAGGATTTAGGGATTAGGATTTAAAAGGTTTAGGATTTAAGGTTTAGGACTTGGGTTTAGGATTTGGGGTTTAGGATTTAGGGTTTAGGATGTAGGGTATAGGGTATAGGGTTTAGGGTTTTGGATTTAGGGTCTCCGCTTCAGGGTTTAGGGCATGTTGTGTCGCAGATATGTAGGATCCTTTTGTGAGGGCGATCGGCTTGAAAGACGCATGCCCAGACCCTCGTCAGGAGCTGGAAAGTAGTATTAGCCCGTTTCGGCATAGGGCTGAGAAGGCTAAAGGTTTTGGGTTTTGGGCAGAATCAAACGGTAGTTGATAATCATAGCAAGCCACTTGAGGGGACCAGCGTTTTCGATGATCCGCGAACTTTCCTGAAAGTGTATCCCAAACAACCCAGGCCCCTGGCAGGTTCTAGGAAGTAGATCCCTTCATGGGGGCCCCATACTACCAAAGGGTGATTTATGGGAACCCCTTTAAGAGATATCTACTTTTTGGATCTTCCCGGGGGAGGGTTTAGGGTTTAGGGTTTAGGCAACAGGGTTTAGGGTTTAGGGAGTCCTCGACATCGTAGACCATGAGGGACGTCTGAGTGCCCACCATGAGCATGTCACGCTGGATAGCCGGATTAAGCTCGCCTCAGGGCTGTGAGCGGTTTAGGGTTCAGGGTTTAGGGTTTTAGGGTTTAGGGTTTAGGGTTTAGGGAATTTAGGGTTTAGGGTTTACAAGGGTTTTAGGGTTTAGGGTTTAGGGTCCCAGACCCCCGGGAGGATCCAAAAAGTAGATCCCTTGATGGGGGTTCCTATAAGTACCCTTTAGTAGCAAAAGGGTCCCAAATTAGGGGTTCTACTTTCTAGATCCTCCCGGGGGTCTGGTGTGGGTCCAAGGACCTAACAATCACACACTCTCCCAAAGATTAACCTAATAGCTACTATCCGCAACCAAAGTACCTTACTATCGGGTCCTTTGGACCCGTAGGGTAAGGATCCATACACTCATATGTGATCTACTTTGGCCTTAATGTAGTCCAAAAATGGGGGCTTCCGAAATTAGGGGAGCCGAGTATCATACCCTAAATAATGGGATCCTCATGAGTCCACACGCTCATGTGTGATCTACTTCGGCCTTAACCCAGACCCCCGGAAGGATCTAGAAAGTAGATCCCCCAATTTGGGGCCCTATACTACTAGAGGCTCTTTATAGAACCCCCCCCCCCTTAAGGGATCTACTTTTTGGATCCTCCCGGGGTCTGGGAATGTAGTCCATATATAGGCACCTTGGGGCAAGAGTATCTACTCCGGTTGATGATATAAGTCCTGCATTACCCAGACGAAGGAATATACCATAACTCCCATAGCTTAGGGTAATGCAGGATTTATATCATCAACAGTAGTTGTGAACATGGACCCGTAGGATTTAGGAATGAAGGTTTTGAGGGTTGAGCGATTAAAGCTCTAAGACTCGAGTGTAGGAGGGTCTGGGGGTGTAGGGCATTATGGTCTCGGGCTTATTGGGTTTATGGTTTAGCGTTTGGGTTTATGGCCTAGGGTTTAGGGCTGACACTTCTTGGGGGCTCGAACAGGGGAGCTTAGATAGCTTAGGGTTCTTATTTTGGCTAGGAGTTCAGGGTTCGGGAGTTCATGGTGGGGAGCAATATTGTCAGGTTCACGGTGCAGTTTGCGAGGCCAGTTTGCAACAGTGTGCATGTTGAAAAACTGCAGCGATGCCCTAAAGATGATATCGGCAATCCCAAATCGGGAACTAAGTTAATCTGTCTGAAGCGGCATTTGCAGTAAGAAAACAGCTTCCAATTTCTTTAAAAACGATTGCTGAGATACAGTGATTTTCGGAGGGTCTATTCTCTAGATACTTTGACGGGGTTTGGGCACGGACCGCGAAGATTGCGCGTATAAGGATAGCAAGATTCGTTGCGAAAAAACATCGAGGCTCCTATTGCAACTACCCTGATTGCCCGGAACACCAACCCTGCCTGGGTCCTGTACCTCAACCCCTGGATCCTAAGCCCCCCGATATCAAAGTCCTGAATGCCTCGAGCTCTACCAGCGTTTAAACTTTGGGCGCGTTTAGGGTTTAGGGGGTTAGGGTTTAGGGTTTCAGAGAACCCTAGACCCTAAACCCTAGGGCTGCAGGCGGCATTCGGCCTGTGACCACGGACGTGATCTTTCGGTTGATGTTGAGGAACATGACCTTTGGTCTGTGTGCCAGGACCCCCCCAAAGGCCCTCTAATGGAGCCCTTATGGTCCTTAATAGTGGGTATTGAGGGTATATTAGAGGGTAATTAGTTGGGGGGTCTAGGTGGGGTTTGAAGGCTTTGAATCTAAAGTGTCTTGGTAGGCTGACGTACATGCACTTCGCAAACTTCATGGCTCTAAAGGCATACAGATCCTGCAAGCTTCAGATATCTATAGGGCTCATACTGTCAAGGGTCACGACGAGAGCGTGATCAAATGTTGCGGCTTAGGCCTTAAAGGTTCTGGGGTCTCGAAGATTGAAACTCATGTCAGCAGGTTGAAGGCAATAACCAAGCCGGAACCAAACCAAACATACCATTCTGTGGTGTTCGTTATTGCCGACATCCGAAAAGATACTGCAAAACCCTGTTCTAACTGCTCAGGCCCTTATATTATGCCCTAAACCCTAAACCCTAAACCCGAAACCCATCCTGGCCCATAGACCCTAAACCCTAAACCTTAAACTATCGTGCACCTTGCCCCAACACCAACAAACCAACAAGTCCAGAGCGCCTTAAATCTCAGAGAACATCTCGGCCGAGAACCCACGACTTATCCTGGCCAGACCGACACCCCAAACGTCCCAAGCCCTAAACCCTAAACCCTAGACAGTGAGAACTTCAACCCTGAAGCCTATTTAGGTTTTCACCCTCCGCACATGTGCCACAGAGCCCAAGACCACTGCTTCAGAAACTCTGATTCAATCAAGCTTGGGCCGCCCTGCATATTTATATTGATCAAAACTGTCTGGGCTTCTTGGATGCACCAATCTTCGAGGACAATAATATGGGTTTAGGGTTTAGGGTTTAGGGTACAGTAATATGGGGGGCCTTAAGAAGGGTTTTGGGGCCCATTTTCTATACTTGCAATAAACAACCCCCCCCCTCAACCAAAAAAAAAAAAGTATTGGTAAGTCTTAAGGCCTGTACACTACTCAATCGAAACTCCCATGCTTGGTATCGGAGAACTACGTCCGAGGGGTGTGAGAACTTGATACAGAAGTCTGAATAGACTATTAAAGCGTGCATGCCAGTATGTATCGGTTTCCCTCAGCCCAAACCCTAAACCAAACCCTCTACCCTGCACCGCAAACTTCAAGCAGTCCCTCTGAAACGCCCGAGGCCCAATTTAGCGGCTTTGATGATTACAACCTGGTTTTGGGGTTACATGTATATGTACATATGTATGCACCGTTTTCCCTACTATGACTATGGAAAAGCAAACCTGAAGAATCGTATTCAGATGTATGAAATACTAAATAATACCCTAAACCCTAAACCGTAAACCCAAAACCCCTAAACCCAAAACCCCTACACCCCTAAACCCTCAACCCTAAACCCTTAGATTTCAGGCGCCCATCTGATTCTAGGCCCATGTGTTTCGACACTGCCTTACTTCTCCAATAAGCCAGGGAAGTAAAAGGTTAAACTTTCAGGTTACTACTAAATTATAAGAACCCCAAAAAGTTTATAAAGGTTGGGTATTGGGGAACTAAGCTGCTGGCCTCATTCTGCGGGTTCTCCACCCGGTTGTGTGGGCAGTGGATCAGCACCTACAACACCGACCCCCCGGGATCTGGAAAGTCGAATCCCGAATTTGGGTTTAAGGCTATAGGTGGTGGTTTACAGGGTTTTGAACCCCTAATTTGGGTTTAAGGTTGTAGGGTTTACAAAGTTTTGAACACCTAATTTGGGTTTAGGGTTTAGGGTTTAGGGTTTAGGGGTGGGGGTTTACAGGGTTTTGAAAGCAGAACCAATAGTTTTGGGACCCTATACTGCTAAAGGCTCTTTTCAGGAACCCCCGAAAAAAAGGATCCCGAACTCCAAAACCCTTCGAGATCCCTTAAAGGAATAGAAACCCCACTTAGTTTCTGAGTTCATAAGCCCAGAAAAGTGCACACGTCCTAAACCCTAAACCCTAAAGGACTCTATGATCCTTCTACTAAGCCCATGAAGGGATGGTGGAGCCTTTGGGGCTGCGAGGTTTGCCGGAAACCCCCGCAAAATCCCCCATTCTCATAGAGTTTAGGGTTTGGGGTTTAGGGTTTAGGATTTAGGGTTTAGGGTTCCCCCCCCCCTCCCCACACCACAACCAGAGGTCTTTCAGGGTGAGAGTTTAGGGTTTCAGGTTTTGGGGTGGGGTTTTATTTTGGGGTTGTGCGCGGTCTAGGGCTTGGGTTGCAGAGTTGAGGTTTGACAGTCGGGCACTATTCAGACCTCTGATTCTTGGAGGGTCGTGCAACCTAGCTAGTGGGTACGAAGTAGACTTACCAGTACCCGAAAAGGGGGTCCCAGTTGGGGTTACGACACTTATAGGTCTATAGAAGCTACTTACTAAGTCCCCCGACCCTCCAAGTATGAGGGCCTGAAAAAGTAGAACAGGGTTGAGTGTTTTAGCGCAGCATCCTCATAAGCATGAAATGGAATACTATAAGAAATTATAATACATGTAGAATACTATAACTTACTTCTCCAATAAGCCAGGGAAATAAAAGGTTAAACTTCAGGTTACCACTAAATTGTAAGAACCCAAAAAGTTTAGAGGTTGGGTATTGGGGAACTAAGATAAGAGATATTAGTACAAATCATTCCGACCCCTTCATGAAGAGGTCTTACGATGCAGGTTTTTTTCCGGATTGAATTTACACGCAGCATGGTGAGCAGTGACCACTATGTCCGTGTGTTGCTCACTGGAGGTCATCTCTGCTTGAGTTATCATACCCTAAACCCTAAACCCTGAACCCTAAACCCTAAAATAGGGTCCCTAGGTCCTCAAAATAGCACGGCAACCATGTAAACAGGACCGTCGCCTGAGGGTCGAATAAGATTCCTTGGGAGCCCAATTTCCGATAAAGTGGGTCACCTACAGTCTGCACTGTAGTTCCTTTATGGGGCCACCTTGGCTCAATAGTGCAACTCTTGAACAAGGCCCTACCCTAAACCCTAAACCCTGAACTCTAAATAACCCTACGGAGCCCTAAACCCTAAACCCCAAATAACCCTAAAGAACCCTACTAAACCCTAAACCCTAAATAACCCCGAAACCCTAAACCCCAAACCCCAAATTATCCTTTTTTTTACAAACCCAGACCCCTGGGAGGATCTAGAAAGTAGAACCCCTAATTTGGGACCTTGTACTACAAAAGGGTCTTTGTCGGAACCCCCATTAAGGGATCTACTCTTTGGATCCTCCCGGGGGTCTGGG